ATTCAAGGACGGAATATTAAAAATTGCATGGGGTGTCCTTGATGGTCCTTGGACAACAAAGAACCATTTTCACCGTGTAATTTTTTTTCGCGTTGGACGTTTTTGTTTCCTTATAATCGAGGAAAATACCCTCTAGCCAAACAGCTCTTATAGGGTCGTCAGGCCGACCCTGGGTCCTGGTGTCTGGTCAGCAAAGAGGGGTCACCTGTAAACAAGTCCGGAGACCACCCATCCCCGCCACACCACGCGACGCCACGCCGTGTCGGTTTCCCTTCCGCCCTGACAGGTTAATCAACATGAGAGCTACGCTGTGCCTGGTGCTGGTCCCAGCGCACCCACAGAAATATGTTATTGATTTTCGTACATTTTTTTCGTGTACTGGCTATTCTTGAGTACAATGTGCTCCTGTTGAGCGAGCTTTTCGTCTCAAAAGCAACACTGTCTAGAAAATGAAGAAAATGTACTTATAGCAAGAACAGATTTGTGGTGCATATGGGGTAGCGGGGCGTTGTTCGGGTTCGGCGGGAAAGCGTTGGCCGTCGACCCTTCCCAACGTAAAGAAAAGTAACATCATCTAATCGTCGTTTTTGGCATTCGTTTCGCACCACTTGATCGATGAAAGTTTAGCTTTGGCTAAGTGTGTTATTTGCACGGAATCCCTTCTCATTCGCTGCGGTGCGCGAGGGGGTGAGTGGGACAGGGGTGGGGGTGTTTGTGTGTGTAGCCTGACCAGCCAGCGGCGTATAAGGGGCCGGGCGGGCGGCGGGAGGGGCGCGTGGCCGCTCTGCTCCTCGATGCTCAGGAACCCTTTCCCTCCCGCAGTAACCAGCTGCCAGCTCGTTGTCGGGATTTGCTTAATCTCCTGTAATCGACAATGATGAGCACGGCCATCCGCGTACTTACACCCACCCACACTCACGCACACGCACACGCTCACGCTCACACTCACACCCACACACTTACACCCACACTCTCGCACACACTCACACTTGCACCCACACGCACGCGCGACCCGCACACAGACACGCACGCACCCTTAATCGATTCCCCCTCTCTGCCTCCTCCTCCTCCCCTCGCCGTCCAACACATAATAATTGAGTGGTTAGACGCCGCCATCAATTAATGGTGTACATCGCAAGTGTGTGCGTGTGCGTATAGTACTGTTGTTCTTGTTGGTGTTTGTGTTGTTGATCGCGGAACAATTTGCCGCATGATTTTATTTAAATTCACTGAATAGAAAAAAAAGAATCGAGCTTAATGCGATTAAAGTCGAGTATCCCCCGGACGGGGGTCCTCGTTATTTTCTTTTTCACTGGAACAGGATACTCTTTATTTTCCTGTTTGCTTTTCCTGTCCTTTTCATTATTTCTTCTCGATGGCAGTCAGGCCCGCCGCATTGAAATCCCCGCGCGCGACGCCTTTCTCCTCGCAGCGCCCTGCCTGCCGCCTCTTCCTTCGCTACCGCTTTCACGACTCGAGTCACTGGGAATCTCTTTGGAATGGTTGTCGCAGAATTAAGGTGCGAGAGCACCCCCCCCCCTCCCCTATTTTCTCTCTCACCCTCTCTCGCTCTCTCTCTTTAGTGCGAGCGTCGCTCGGAGGCTGCGCCGCTGCCGGGCCGCTCTTTCCGCCTTAAATAGTCGTTAATATGCATTAGGTAAACTTGTCGGATGGATGGCCGGGCATGATTGCCGACAACAATCGTAAGTATTCTTCGCCCGCTCCGTCTCCCTCCCTCTTCACCCTCCCCTCATCCCCTGTCCAGCCCCCGCCTCGTCCCTCTCTCTCTCTCTCTCTCTCTCTCTCTCTCTCTCTCGCCCTCCCTTGCGCGGCCGCGCGTTCGAAAATAGTCGCGCGAGAGTGACGGAGACGGAAGGTACGGAAGCAACCTTTCTCCTTCTGCCGTTCCCATTTCCTTCCTTCTCTAGCACGCGATCTCCCCCTCTCCCTCGCCCGTCGACGGCGGAAGGCGCTGCTTAGTTTGTCCTTATTGCTTAAAACTTGTTAATTTAAGACCATCTCCCCGAGGCGTGCTCAGCTCTGCGACATTGCGTGGGTTATTAACACTACCGTCCAGCAGTAAACACACGGCCGGATCTCGCAACTTCCGGTTCCGATCGCGGACGCTGTCACACAAAAAAATGTTCGCCTCTTCTATTCATTTTTACTGACCAAACTCTAACATTTTGGCGACTGCATCTGTGATCGGGACCGGAAGTCGCAAAGACCTGGGGGTCCCTGCAAAGCCCCTTCAGCAGCAGCGTTACCCGCGGGCGTGGGGCGAGGGCGAAGACACGCCGAGGTGTATGTTATTTGCAGCTGGGGGGATCAGGACGAGAGGGCAAAGACACGACGCGTTATTCGCAGCACTGAAGGCCAGTGAGAGAGACTGCACACTTAGCCGTGTGTTATAAGAGAGAGAGAGAGAGAGAGAGAGAGAGAG